GACCCCCCCCCCCCCTTTTTTTTTACTCCAGGAATTTTTGTGTTCTGAAAGTTAAAGCACATTATTTTCTAAAACACTTACTGCGGGATTGTTTCTACAGTATATATGGGTCTAATGGGATGTTTGTCGTACACTCCAGCTCTCATGTTTTTGGGCCCCTGTAAGTCAAATAGTGTTAAACACTCATCCGTTGACTTTATTGGCATCAGCTGAATCACAGAGCTGACATACTGAATGAGTCAGCTGAAGATGATGTGTAAGTGTTTATAGTATCCATGCTATAGTTTAAACAGTTTGTGCTAATAAAGTTTTGACCGCTCATCATGCTAAAGTTCAGTGATGAAGTGAGTGACTTTTAGAATACAGGAGTCACTCTCACAGCTGTAAACAAGATACATGAAAACTGTGCCGTCTATTTAGTGCAAGCAATTTGTGACCAAAGTAAAATTAAACTACCATCAACAAGTGATAAGATGTGTTTAAATAAAAAAGAATTTACCCCAAAAATTAAAATTTGCTGAAATTTACTTCCCCTCAGGTCATCAAGGATTAGTTTGTTTCTTAAATACATTTTCTTTGGCTAAAGTTAGCATTACATAACGTGCTCACCAATGGATCCACTGCAGTGAATGGATGTCGTCCAGTGTATGGGGAGGGAGGGAGAGGTTAGGGTGAGCAGTATTTCTTACAACGCTCATTGTAAGAAATACTGCTGCTGCACAAATAATATATATGAAAATAACCCCCATATATAGCATACTTGAAATTACCCTGTAGCAGATCTATACAGGTGGAGCTGGGGAAGGTGGAGGTTTTCTGAAGCGCACTGTAACTGCTGTAGCAAGCATTAGCCAAGTATTTGAATGTTGAGTTAGAACCTGTCGGCCTGCACCATCTAGAGTTTCATGACAGAACTTAGTATTAATCCACACGACTCCATCAATGAAGTGAAAAGCTGAGTGTTTGTAAGAAACAAATATATCATTGAGATGTTTATACCATCGCTTCTAGCCACAATGCGAGTCCTCTATCCATAATATTGCTTTCTCCAGTGAAATCTAGTCATCTTGTCTGAATGAAGAGAGAAATATGCACTGATCAAGCATCATTTACAGGCAAAAAACAGTCCAAAACAGTTCTAAACAAATATGTGGGTGG